TTGCATAGGATCAAGGCAATTTGTTAGCCTGGATTTGATATGAACCATGACTAACCTCTGGAAGCACTTCATAATGATGGAGATCAGAACCACCAGAGGCACGCTGCATGATTTTTCTTCAGCACTGGGATGATGTGGTTCTTCTTGAAGCAGATGGGGATTTTGGATTGTAGTAAGGAAAGGTTAAAGATGTCCGCGAATACTCCCACCAGCTGGTCTGCACAGGATCTGTATGTATGGTTGGGGACTCCATCTGGGCCAGTCACTTTCTGTGGTTTCACTCTCAAGAAGGACAATCTACAGCAGTGATTGTGGGTACAGGTGCATCCAAGGCTGTTGGGATAGATGATACAGGGGAGGCAACAGCCTAGTGGTAATATCACTGGACTGTTAATCCAGAGACCCAGATAAATGTTCTGGGGACCTGGGTTTGAATCCCACCATGGCAAATGGTGGAATCTGAATTCAATAAATATCTGGAATTAAGAATCTAATGACGACTGTGAATCCATTTGCCAACTGTCTGGGGAAAAACCCATCTGGTTTACTAATGCCCTTTAGGGAAGGAAACCGCCATCCTTACTTGTGACTCCACACCCACAGCAATGTGGTTGACTCTTAACTGTCCTCTGGGTAATTAGGGATGGGCAATAAATGCCAGTGATGCCCTCATCCCGTGAATGAATAATGGGGGGGGGGGGGAAGGTGACAGTGTTTCACCGACCGCTCGCTCAAAGCGAGTGTAGAATGCATTGAGTTTGTCACGTAAGGATGTATTGCTCCCCGTGATTCTGTTCAACTTTGCAACGTAGCTTGTTATGTTGTGTAAGTCCTTGCCACAAACGACAGATGTCTGGGTTTCAAGCTTACTTTGGTATTGCCTCTTAGCATCTCTGATGGTCTTACAAAGATTGTACCTGGATTTCCTGTATAGGTCAGGATTGCACCACTTGTACGCATTAGACCTGGACTTCAGAAGGGAGTGGATCTCCTGGTTCATCCATGGTTTCCAGTTGGGTAATAATTGGATTAACTTCTTTGGCACGTAGTCTTCTACGTACTTTCTAATGAAATCTGTATTGGTAGTGGCATAGTCATTTAGGTTGGCCACTGAGTTCTTGACTCCACTGACTCTAATCAGTCCCATTAAAGCCCTTCCATTACTTCAGACGAATACTGCACTACTTCCTGTATTGGGTCCTCCCTCTTCAATTTCTGTTTGTAAGCTGGAAGGAGTGTATCTGCATAGGAAGGGTTTAAAGGGATATGGGCCAAATGCTAGCAAATGAGATTAGATTAATCCAAGATATCTGGTTGGCATGGACAAGTTAGATGGAAGGGTGTTGTGTTGCACAACTCTGACTCTATAACTTAAACATCAAGTGGGATCATATGTGTAGACTTTAGCTGCACACGTGTTACTTTGGAGTAGAAATGGATAGTTTGACATAGATAGTTTTTCTATAACTCAAAGACACCTAGTGCCACTCCTGACAGCCTTTGGATTGATCCAGTTGCAACTTGCTATAGATCTGCAAGCGTATTTTCCATTTATTGAAGAATACTCCTGTCGTTTTCCTGTTAAAGATACTTCCCATCAACCTGGTTAAAGATGTTATTACACACCCCTGGACTTCTGGGTTGGACTGGAGACCAGACTTCCCAGCTCATGTGCAGGGACACTATCAGTCAGCTTCATTAATCTGTCCAGCTGTGTCATGACACATACCTAAAGCATGTGGGACTTGAACCCTTGTCTCCTGGCTCAAAGCTAAGAACACTACCACTTTGCCACAAGTCCTTGCTGGTGAGAATTACTTGCGTCCTGGATATCAGTCTATTAGGCAAATTGCTTGCTTAAGGAATTCTGGGGCTCAATTATTGGCACAGCCTCTCTCAACCGAGTCGTGACACTACTAAGTCCCAGTGTCGATCTCAAAGCTGGAGCTTCTGGCTCAGAGGCAGGGACACTACCCACTGCACAACAAAGGACTCAACAAGCCACAGGGTACTGCCAATGGGAGGTAGAGGGGGTGGGATGAGTATCCAAACATGCACGCCTCAACATTCCACAGCATGGAATTAACCCTCTCGGTTGCTTTAAAAAGATTGATATGATTGGTGCACACTTGACTCACTTCCACACAAGGACTTTGATGCTTTGTCACCCCCTACAACAGATGGAACAAAGTGAGGCTCTTCTGCCAAGGCTGCTATTGCTGCCAAAAGATCTGTCATCATGGTATGCTGTGCATGTCAAAACAGCACTCTCTTCAACACATCTAGTTCAGAATGACTAATTACACTGTAAAAATCATTCAATGGCACTGAGGTTGACCCCTCATTCTGCGGCCTTCCGTTTTTCCCACCAGAACAGATGTCTATGGTCTTTCAGACCTGAACAAATGGCCAAAATGCAGACTTCTATAGATGGTCACTTAAAGGATTAATATCTTTTCATTTGTCTTATGGTCTATAGATGGTGTTTCTTTTCATCCACATTTTGAAAGCCTCTGATTTTCTTCCACAGCTCTTTACTTACTGTTCAGGTTTATGAAACAGACAGGAAAATGGATAGAACGCAGCACCTGACAAGGTTGCCACGTCTGATGAACTCCAAAAAAGCTCAACATCCATCTACCAAGTCAATTCAGGGGCTGCTGGCTACCTGATCTTCCAATCTTATCAAAAGGCTTGCATCCTCATTAGAGACTTTGATCAGTGTGCTTGTCTCATCTTTTGAGCATCAGAAGAAACAGACAAGTTTAGCCTGGTATGTGCTCTGAAGTCTAAGTGTCACAGGCCAATACAAACAGTCTCTTCCCATTTATTGCCTGCATTGTCAGTGCGGATGTGTTTTAGCCTGGACACACTGTACCTGCTCTATTATTTTAGGCAGCGCCTCTGTTTTGGTTTCATTCAAGTCGAATAGAGATGGAAGGAATGTCGTGGGTTCCCAGGCATTGCTCACATATTCCATGGCTGAGGTTATTGTCTGGAACAAGTCCCAATAATTGGGCTCCCAAGTTAACAATAACATGAGGGGGCCTGGGCTTTTTTTTTGTGAGGCAAGACGTCTGTCTGAATCAGTTGTAGATCGTCAAAGGTCAATTGAAGCACCAGGGCCAACTCAAAAACAAACATTAATTTTCCTTTAAAAAAAGCTTTTTTCCCTTTGGGTGTGTGGACTGTTCTCAGCATAGCCCTGGAAACATTGCAAGGTTGATACACTATCGCAGCAGATGGATCTCATGTTGGATTCTTAAAAAAAAACACCATATCCAATATATTCCAGTTCCACAATGTTATTAATTGCACATCTGCGAGGAGGGACAAAGACTATAGCAATCCAACATGCTCGACAGTAACTCCAGGTATAACTTTGATACCCTTCAGATGTTGCCTGATGGATAAGAGGACAATCCCGGACCAACCTACTAACCAAACTTGCTGTGTTTACATGGAGTGCTACAGACAGAACACTCCAGACTTCAGCATTTGCCCTTTCATAGTCTGTAACAGAGAACTACGCACCTACTTGCGAGAGGTCAAGTGTAGTGGTAACATCACTGGGCTATTTCAGGGATTACTAGTTCAAATCCCAACATGAATTCAATAAAAATCCAGAATAAATAAAAATCTAATGGCGACCATGTAGCCATTGTTTTAAAAACCCTCCTTTCCCTCCCCACCCTTATCAGCTTTCCTGAGGGACCACTCTCTCCGTGACTCCCTTGTCCGCTCCACACTCCCCTCCAGCTCCACCACACACGGCACTTTTCCCTGCAACCGCAGGAAGTGCTACACCTGCCCCCATACCTCCTCCCTCACCCCCATCCCAGGCCCCAAGAAGACTTTCCACATCAAGCAGATGTTCACCTGCACATCTGCCAATGTGGTATACTGCATCCGCTATACCCGGTGTGGCTTCCTCTACATCGGGGAAACCAAGCGGAGGCTTGGGGACCGCTTTGCAGAACACCTACGCTCGGTTCGCAATAAACAACTGCACCTCCCAGTCGCGAACCATTTCAACTCCCCCTCCCATTCCGCAGACAACATGTCCATCCTGGGCCTCCTGCAGTGCCACAACGATGCCACCCAAAGGTTGCAGGAACAGCAACTCATATTCCGCTTGGGAACCCTGCAGCCCAATGGTATCAATGTGGATTTCACAAGTTTCAAAATCTCCCCTCCCCCTACCGCATCCCAAAACCAGTCCAGCTCGTCCCTGCCTCCCTAACCTGTTCTTCCTCCCACCTCAAGCCGCACCTCCAACTCCTACCGACTAACCTCATCCCGCCCCCTTGACCTGTCCGTCCTCCCTGGACTGACCTATCCCCTCCCTAACTCCCCACCTACACACCTTTACTGGCCCCATCCCCGCCTCTTCGACCTGTTTGTTTCCTCTCCTCTATCCATCTTCTATCCGCCTCCCACTCTCTCCCTATTTATTTCAGAACCCCCTTCCCCTCCCCCTTTTCTGAAGGAGGGTCTAGGCCCGAAACGTCAGCCTCTCTGCTCCTATGATGCTGCTTGGCCTGCTGTGTTCATCCAGTCCTGCACCTTGTTGTCTCAGATTCACCAGCATCTGCAGTTCCTACTATCTCTGATTCAGTTTTAAAAACCCTGTCTAGTTTGCTAATTTCTTTTAGGGAGCAAGATCTGCCATTCTTACCTGCTTTCTGAGGTTCCAGGCTTTGAATAATTGGCAAAAGAACTAAAGGGGAAATTATGAAAATATATTTTCCATCCCTCCTTTCCAAAGGGTTAATCACAAACAGATTCCAGAGGCAATTCAGCATGCATTTGAAGAGGACTATTTACAGGGTTATGACAGGGTGGTGTGCGTGCGCGCGTGCGTGTGGATAAAACTGAAGTGCGAACAGATCTTTCAAACAGCCTGCACAGCAAATTACCTCCTCCTGTGCAAAACTGAAGAGTGCTCCTATTTAAGACACAATCTTGAGAAGTATTAAAAAAAGTCTGAGAAAGAACTGTTTATAATAAAGAAAAAACTTTAATTCACATTAGTAGAAATACATTTGGATGAATATCAAAAAGTGTGCACTAACAATTAGTAGGACCAACTGACTAAATAGAATCAAGTGTTTCTTCATAAAAAGCAGATTAAACCACTGATAAAGTGAAAAATCTCCTAAATTCTCAATTGTTCTGGAATCAGTTACCTTATGTAGTGCAAATAGAAAAAGAAACAGACGCTGCACGTGCACCCAGCAGTTTCCTTTGGATTCACTTCAGTGCAGTCATTCCATTGTCAGAATTTTTTCAGGAAGGGAGATAGAAGAGCATATATTCAGAGTGCTCTTCGGATCAGCACGGTTCAGAACACAGTTGAGTTTAAAATTGAGAAGGCAGTGTTTTGGGAATGTGATATCAAAATGATCTTTAAACCACCCTCAGTTCCAGTTAAACCTTTGGGCCTTGCAATGACGATACCAATGATATACTTTACAAGACCATTGGTGCCCTTGTTTAAATAGAGGAAGGATTACTATACAAACCCATCAAGAATTCAGAGACTTTATGGAACCATTTCAAGGCCTCAATCTTTTTATTTTGGGGGGGGAAATGGGGGCAGGCAGCAGTTAGGAAAGAGCAGAGTTCTTGATTGCAAAGAGAACAGAAAGGGATACAAACCTAGAGTGGGAAATACCGATACTCTTTCTGAAAAAGAAGTTAGATTGCAATTTGGAACACTAGATGCAGACCTCTCTAGGGTTCTGATCAAGTGAGTGTGAGGCAGGGAAGAAAGAAGTGTCTGTACAGTGGCATTGTAGGTTAACACTGCCACAGAAGGGGTGGAAACTGATCAGGAATGTAAAGAAGCAATGGAAGCTCAGCAACTAGAAGTCATCATTGGACAAACAATCACAATATTGAGGGCATGTTTCTGTTGTCTGCGCTAAGGAGTAGCCTCTTGCTGGTCCATCTCATCAATCACCACTAAGTGTCCCGAGACAGATGTTGTATTTAGTACAAGTTAAAAAGAACAACAGAGAGCACAAATGTGAAAAGCAGATGATACTGGAATACAATAGCAGGTCTACCAGCACTTCTCACCCAAAATATTTAGAAAACCTCTCCTTTTCCAGAGGCCAACAGACTTATTGTACTGTGCCAGCATTTTGATCTTCCTTTCGGCTAAACAGCAGGTCAGAGATGAAAGCTCCCTCTACCCCGCCTCAACATTGTGCTTTATTCCAAGAATTCTAAAGATATTTTACCAGTGCATCAATCTACGAGTTACGCAGTCAGTTAGACAATTATATCAGTGCCAGACTGGGTGATGTTTGCTGACATGGGGCCCAAATGAGTTGAGGCAACCACAAATTCACTTTTACGTGAGGCATCCAACACAGCAAGGAAACATTTGCCCCAGATTGGGCTTGATTTCTCCAAGAAATGAAAGGACCGGGGTTGAAGGACATGATTTATCCCCCTGCACCGTATAATTGCCACATTTCTACAATCCAGTTCATATATTTCTTAAATAAACAAAATATATATACATGCATTCCTTTCTCCCTACGAATCCTCTAAGACTCCTGGTTCAACACAGGGTGATTGAGACCCTCCAAATACTGCAGCGTCTGGTTTCATGGACCCTCCTGAAGGTGTTTCTTCGAATGACAGTTGTGGGTTGTGCAATAATTCAGTCCCTGCAAGCTCTCAAATCCAACAATTTTTTTGCCATTGGCAAATGTCTCATTTCCTTCCACACTACCCCAGCCGCCCCTCCACCTTCAGTCCTCTTTGGGAACATAAGCCCACCACCCCCCCCCCCCCCCCCATTGTTCACTCCCTCCCCTCCCATGGAAATCCGTGTGTCTCCACAGGTTGGGTCAGCCCTGCTCCAGAGTCTCTGTGACCTCCACGGCAGTATAAGAGGCTGGACCCTGGGACAACTGCCGTGTGAAGAACGATGCCGCCCTCTTCGGCTTCACGCGCTTGATTTCTTTACCTGAGTTTGAGGAAAGCAGGAAGAGAAACAGAAAATTGCATTTATAAGTCTCCTTTTGCAAACGCAGAACATAGTAAAGTACTCCACAGTCAATTAAGTACTTTGAGGTATCCTTGTAACAATGCAGGAAACGTCTGCAGTCAACTTGCATAGCTCCACAAAAAAAGCAAACAGGATTGTGGCCTGTTAATCTGTTTTACTTGATGAAGGGTAAATATTGACCAGAGCGCTCCAGGATGAAATACCCTGCTTTTCTCTGAATTAGTGGTGAAAATTTGGTAAAACAAACAAGGGCAGGACTTATACAATTAAAAGTAGGGCCTTGGGTAATGGCAATGCTGTAGAACAGAGACCTAGGGGTTCAGGTACATAATTCTTTGGAAGTTTGCGTCACATGTCGACAAGACGTTTAGTACGCTGGCCTTCATTGCTCAGATCTTTGAGTATAGGAGTTGGGACGTCACGGGGAGGTTGTAAAGGACGTCGGTGAAGCCTCTTCTGGAGTAGTATCAAGTTCTGGTCACCCTGTCATAGGAAGGATCTTAAATTGGAGGGTTCAGAAAGAATTACCAGGATGTTGCCAAGAACAGAGAGTTTAAGTTATAAAAAGAGGCTGGGACTTTTTTCCCCTGGAGCGTAGAAGATTGAGAGGTGACCTTATAGAGGTTTATAAAATCATGAGCGGTATAGATAAGATGAATGGCAGGTCACTTTTCCCTAGAGTGAGGATTTCAAAACTTGGGGGCATATTTTTTAAGGTGACAGGAGAAAGTTTTAAAAGGGGTAACTTCTTTGACAGAATGGTCCGTGTGTGAAATAAAATTCTAGAGGAAATGGTGGATGAGGGTACTGTTAAAATGTTTAAAAGACATTTGGATAAGTATATGAATAAGAAATGTTTGGATGGATGTGGGCCAGGAATAGGCAAGTGGGACTAGTTTAGTTTGGGATTATAGTCAGCATGACCTGGTTGGATTGAAAGATCTGTTTCCGTGCTGTATGACTATGACTATAGTGGCATCAGGATCTTTGACATCCTCCTGGAGGGGAGACGAGGGGCCTCAGTTTGACCTATCAGCTGAAACATGGTATCTCTAGCAGTACAATGTTCCCTAAGTGTCAGTTTGGAATGGACCTTGTGACCACAATTGCTAACTTAGAGGTGAGACTGCTACAAACGCAGCTGACATCCAAGATATTAAGTACTCAGCTCCAGTACTATGAGCACTTGATAAGTCAGTCATCACTGTTTTTGCTTGTGGTTGTGGTTGTGGTGGTGGTGGTAGTGGTAGTGGTAGTGGTAGTGGTAGTGGTAGTGGTAGTGGT